TCAACAAAAGAAAGAAAAATGCTCTGCTTCAGTCCAGCCACACCGTAGAGACAGACGGTGTGAGGTTCAGTCGATATCCTGAAGCACACACGTGAGCAAACGATGGTGTTTAATGACTTCTGCAGAATAACATCGTTAAATATTTAATTGAGGATGGATGACTTATTTTTAACCCTCATCTATTATTTTGCAATAAAACCACTCCATCAGATTTTTGAGTTTTTTGATTTCCCCCTGCAGACACTGTACGCATGTCCCTCACGGTTACAGTGTCTGCAGACATGTAAACTCCAACTCTGAATGTCCAAACACAGGGATTAAAAAATGTTTAGATATTGTGCTATATATCTTTGGAATGGATTATGTTTCTCTGTGAGAAAAAATATGAATCTGAATGAACTGTACATAATTTAAGTTTAACTAAATGAACTGCATTGCATCTCAGTCTTTACTATACTATATTTATCTAAAGCAGCTGACAGCCTGCACAGGGAGCGCAGGCAGGATGGAGTGGATGAAGACGAGTGTCTGGGGTGATTTGTGACAGCAGGATTGTAAAGAGAGTGAAAGGGAAGGCTTAAAAGATGGTAGTGAGACGGGTATGTGTGGTTTGGAGATGGTGGTGCTGACAAAAAGACAGGAGGCTGAGCTGAAGATGTTAAATTTTCATCGGGAGTGACCAGGATGGACAAGATTTTACAATGTGCATTTTAACTTTGGTTTATTGATTTTAGGTGATGGTTAGATAGCGTGTACATTTTTACCTAGCATGGCTCCTGTCATGCAATACTTTCTTTCTAATCCTCCTCATACTTTGTATCTGTAATTTTGTATAATGACAACAAAGTATCTTATATTTACTGGAATAAAATAAAAACTATAAATGAACCAGTTTAGATTATGACCTGTAGTCTGGGACCTAAGTTGATTCTTTTTTTGTTTAAAGAAAATGCGATGTGATTCAAAACTGGAAAACCGAGCAGAGGTTTTATTGTCATATACTGTCATATACTAACTAGACTGCTCAGTGCAGCAGAGTGAGGAATGATGCTGCCCACTTTCTCTAATTTTAGGCTGAAAACACCAAACATATGCTAAAATGCTGAGTACACACAGCTTAACTCGCGAACACTCGAGCTAATTATTATGCAATTATACGCTCAGACTGCTCTGTTTCTGCTGCCTGTGATAAGAATATTGAAAACCTCACCGTGTTTCGCAGCGGGTTGGGTGAACCTCAGGGAACAACATTTAATCAGTTGCTTGTTATTGGCTGCTGGGCTCACCTTGGGTCCGTCAGTTCCAGGAGTTCCAGGCAGACCTCTGGGTCCCTGCAGACCCTGAGGGCCAGCGGCTCCTCTCTCGCCGGGAAAACCACGTTCTCCCTGAACAGTAGCACAGTGACAATCAGCAGCATGTATGTTAATCAGCAGCTTACAGTATAATGAAATTATGTTAAGATTGTGAACTTACTCTAGGTCCAGTGGCACCAGCAAGTCCAGCCTCTCCAGGAACACCCTTGAATGGTGAAAAGAAAGAGAAGCTAAAAGACCTGCAAGACTATCACTGTTGAGATACTTAGTTATGCTTTATACTCATAGCACTAACCAAACTAAATTAAAGCCAAAAAGCAAATATTAAGTGTAATTATAGATTAAGAGTTTAGAAATCTGGTAGACGACATCTTAAGTCTTTTGCAGTCACTGATAATGTTGGAAAAAAGCAGCAGCGCTCAAACTGTTTAATTACCTGTGTAATTAATCTGAATCATGAGCTTGGAGTAAGTACATAAATTCATATCTTTGTATACTTTTTATCTTTGTCTTATTTATCTTATTTGATCATGAAAGTGCACAAACCTGATCTCCAGGCTTTCCTCCCTCACCAGGTGG